TTGCGAAACCTACGAGGCGGCGATTGCAATGGCCGTTTGACGCTGATTGGCGCATCGCTGCAGCCGCGTCAGCGCGCGCAGGCTCGCGCGCAGAGCGGTCAGCTGGTCTGGCGCGACAAACGCAGCCACGGTGGTGCTGACCGCTGGGGACTTCCAGCGCGTTTCGCAGGCCGTGCTGACGCGCGGGCACTTCCCTGCGAGGCAGTAATTTGGGCGCGGTAGCATGGCGATGTCGACGGCGGGGAAACACGATGATGATGGTAACAATGTTGGTGCCGACGATGGTGATGACGAAGGCAAGGCCAATGACGTCGCCGATGCTGATCGCGCCGACGACGATGATGGTGTCCACGTGTCGGTGATGAATGTTTTGAAGGATTTCGGCAAGCGCGCGCGGCCAATTGGCGCGAATGGCCCGCATGTTTTTTTTGACGGGGGTCGCGCCATTCCAGCAAACGCGCCAGGGCGTTCGAATGGTTTACACACGCGTACGCGAGAGGCCCGTTTAGCCGCATCCGATGAACATGTTGAAACCGATGGTTTGTAGTAGAGTTTGCAAACGCGCGCGCAGACCCTTGTGGGAAACAATGTTGTGAAACCATTGAAGGTTTGATTGTTCGGGAACCTCGATCCGGAAACCCTTGTGAAAACGAACATGTTTGAAGCATCGGCATGCGCGCACGACGCCGCGTTCGTGTGGACATCGCCCCGTTGTTTGCAGCGGGCGTGCTGATTTGTTAGGAACGAATGCGCGCACATTTTTGGATTTGACATGGATGAAAGGGCGACATGTGGTATAGCTGGGATGGTATGAGTTCATATCTAAGATCAACGATGGGGCCAAACCAACCGTACAATATTCGATTCTTGCGGGTGTGAATAAGTGCCGGGGGTAGATCGGAATTTGTTTAAGAAAGGGGAACATGCGTGGCGCAGTATACGACTTGTCGTATGTGAGGCGCATATTATGCGATGGCAAATATGTTATGCCAGCTACGTTGAGCAAAACATATTATATATATGCGGTGCAGTCCACGTGGTGCAAACCATGTTGTGCAAGATGCGTTGTGAAGTCTATGTGGTGCGGCGACGAGGCGGCGACGGGGCGGCGACGGCGAGCACATAGCCGCCAGACCGCCATGCAGGTTCACACGACCGGCGGCGACGGGGCGGCGACGGCAACCATGGGGCCGCCAGGCCACCAGGCAGGCCCAGACGATGGGCGGTGACGACGCGGCGGCGATGGGGCGGCGACGGCGACAACATAGCCAGCAGACCGACGCACAGGCCCAGACGATGGGCGGCGACGGGGCGGGGACGGCGACAACATAGCAGCCAGACCGACGCACAGGCCCAATTCCTTAAAAAGAGGAAAGAACCCCTAAGCACAAGCACTGCCTAGGGGCCTATGAAATCACACCATCCCGGCCCGCCGGGTTTCGACACCCTCTTCACTCCTGTCGAATCATACTATGCGCACACACTCGTTCATCTCAACACGCAAATGTTAAATCACGCTTTGCAAATACAACGAAGTCCACACGTTCGCGCCGCCGCGTGCGCACGTCATTCTTCAAAACCAGTGTTTTTGTTGCTGTAACTGTTTCAAGACATGGCTAGTCAAAAACTATTCAAAACGTTGTTGCCCGTCGACCAAAAAAACACAATTTTGGCGCGCGCATCTCAGGAAATCGGTAGGTGCTCAGCCATTCGGTCAAATCTGACCATCCAGGCCACTCGCGCGCACATGTCGAAAACGTTCAACCACCATTGTGCGCCCACTAACTTTGCACTGCTGTGCATCACTGGTTTGCCATCGCACTGGTTCGCAATCGTATCACATGTATTTGCGTTGGTTGCCATTGCTCCACATTGCGTTGCATGACCTTGTCCCATGTCTTGAATTGCATTGCGTTGCATTGTTTTGCATTGCCTTGCACTGCTCTGCACTGCGTTGCGTTGCTTTGTATTGCTTGGCATTGCTTTGCACCACATCGACTGCACCCCATGGATTCCACCACCTAGGCTTCGCCACATGGATTGAACCACCTGCAGTCGGGGCGCTGAGGGAGGAACCCTTTTCGTTGGGGCGGGGCTCCGCGTTCCTTAAGTGTTTCACAGCTTGCCTCAGGCTTTCCTTCTGTTGCCGACAGGAAGTCGAAGGTACACTTATGGAAAAAAGGGGCCTCGTTCCTTATTTAGGGTTCCGGAGGTCAACGCCCCTTCTGTAGATTGCGCCGCACAAGTTGCAAGAAATCCCTGTGTTAGGGCCAGGGGCCCACGCTGGCCAACACTGTTCTTCGGCAAGGCATGCCACACAGTGCTGTGCGCGCGCTCGCGCAGATCTTGAGAAAACGTCAACCTGCAAAACCCGTGTTTTTGTTGCTGTAACTGTTTCAAGGCATGGCTAGTCGAAAAGTGTTCAAAACGCTGTTGCCCGTCGACAACATACCACAATTTTGGCGCGCGCGCGCACTCGCTGAAATCTCAGGAAAACGGC